CCTTCTCGAGTTGTGATTGGAGGCTCGATTTCAATTGGTTTGTCTCGCTTGCCTTATCAAAACTCATCTAAATTCTGAATAATTAAAGAAATATATTGAATTTGAGATGAGATTCCCTTGACATTTTAAGTAACTCCCAAAATAAGGACAAATTGTCTGTGGGATTAGAGAGATAATTTTATCATATTCTAAGCAGTAAGGCTATCAGAATAAAACAAAATCAAATAAAACTTTTATTTAATAACAATGCTTAATCCAGCTTCTTACATCACTTACTTTAAAGTTAGTCATTCTGCTTGCCGTATGTGTGTGTGTGTGTATGTGTATGTGGGTCTGTATGGCTCGTCACCCAATTAACTTAAGATTCTTAAGAATGTGTCAGATGAAGAGTTCGTTCTGGTTTATGTGGCGATTTGGACCAAGATTTCGTCTATTCGACAGTGAACTATGAAGCAGGGTACGTTCAGTCGAGAGTAAGCCAGCGTTGTGCCCACAGTCTCTTGAACCCACATCCAAAGTGGAGATGGAGAATGGCGAGTTGTCAACACCCAAAGCTGAGAGCATTGTCAGCCAGTGGATTTGCTTAATTTGAGTGTAGAGGATGGGGAAAAGGAGGCGGTTGTATGTCATTTAGGAGGATCTGGCGAGGCTGAGGAAAGGGGAAGAGTTGAAGGGAAAGAGGGGCTCTAATCTCATTCAAAGGGACCAAGTTGTTGTGCTCCAGTTTGACTTGTCGCTGACCCGTTGTGGTTGGTAGGTTTCAACGACGATCCTCAAACGATGCTGGGGGGATCAGTGATCGGCTGTTGGAGCAGCAGACGAGAAGAGCCCTGCTGGCGGACCACGAATGAGGTAGCTTCTTGAAGGGCTTCCAGTCAACACGGAAAAGGTAAGACTGGGTCACGAGGAAGTGGGAAATTTCCTCATCCCCGAATTCACGGCTGCTTGTACATTCACTCAGGACCAGGTGGTCCACATGAGCCACTTTCGGTGTGCAAAAATCGTCGTCCACATCGCCGTCTACGAGTCTGTCAGTCTCTATTACACTTTCTCTCTTGCTTTCTGTATGGCATGTTGTGCATGTGTTTGTTCGCAGCTTTCTGACCCCCCGTTTTGCACCAATCCCAATTCGTTGCTTGCAAAACGGCGGCCACCTACTCAAGATTTAGCCCTTCCACTTAACTGGTGCTTGATAAGATGGTCGAGATCTCGAGTTTGTTCCCTTTATATATTTTATAATACTTCGAGACTGTCATGACTGTTAAACTGGTAAAAATGGCGATTAGCACGAGAGAGACAATGATCAAAGCAATCGCCTCATAGGAAACTGTTGGGATGGAAAAAAGAAGACATAAAGGAAGTTATCCGACCTACCCAAAGTGTAACAAGGTTGAACAAACTAAATATTCGGTTCAGAAGAGGCTCATGAAGAAGCTGGGTGACTTGACCTTTCTTTTCATCTTAAGGAAAAGGTCTCTCACCTGAAACCGACAAACTTGTGCCGACGAATTGTTCGCTCAATCCAACACTCTTCACTTCGCGGCAAGCATTCTTCTTTTCGGTTTCGATGCGGCCGATTCCAAAAGTCCTTACAGCCGACATTTCCTTCGAAAGAAAAGGTTGGTTCATGCGGTAACTTTTTTGCTTGAATTGAGGCTCAAACGGCCGCTTTAGCAACTGCGAAAGGACTCGAACTCAACAGTTCTCAAACTACTTTTTATAATGGGATTGTCTACCAAGCAAACATGTTGCAAAAATAGGTTTCAAAGAATTCCTTTCATTTAATTTGACATGACTTCCCATTTCGAAGGAAAAGTTGGTTGAAAGGAATTCGTGACTTGATTTCGCCGCAAAACCGAGGCAGGATTGCCGCCGAGTGGAGTAAAGACTTTTGGATTGTGCCAAGAAGTAATCGGCTCGTCGTCACGAGACTCTTCGAGGATCATGTGCTAAGCTCTCATGTCATTAACACTGCATACGCACAATAGACAGTGGCACTTACGTAAACAGTAATTTATTAATTTATGTTAATAAAAAGCTTCCACCGAATCCAATTCGGGTCCATTCACTAGTTTCATTCATCTGCAAGCATGTTGAGTCAGCTTGAGGTGAGTTCGCCCTATTTCGTTTAGA